GTTGCGCCCCGCCCCGCCCCTCATTCAGCTCCGCCCCACCTAGGTTGCGCCCCGCCCCGCCGCGACGAGGGTCGCCCCCGCGGGCCGGGACCCCACGCAGCTCCGCCCCGTGCGTCCTGCCCCGCTCCGCCCTGAGTCCCGCCCAGCCTTGCGTCCCATCCCCAGTCCCGAATTGCTCTGCGGGGTGCACTCTGATCGGCCTCGACCCGTCTGGCACAGCGAATGCGATCAGCCTGAGCCCCGTGGGCGTGATCCCTGGCCGGCCGGGCAGATGCTGGGCGCGATGGCCCACCTTGCCCTCGCCCCGGTAACGCGGCAGGTCAGCGGCCGCGCCGCCTCGGCCGCAGTCCCTAGCGGCCCCGAGCGCGGGCAGCCCCTGGCCGCAACAGTGGCCGAGCTGTCTGTGCTGGACGCCTCCGGGAGGCAGGTGCCGTTCGGCGCGCTGTTTCGGGAGCGCCGGGTTATCGTGGTCTTCGTGAGGGTGAGCGCAGGCAGAGGGGCGGCCCAGAGCAGGGACCTTGCGGCAGGCTGGGATGGAGGTTGCTTCTGTAGCCTCGGCTGGGGGACATCGGGTCCCTGAGAAGGTTCAAGGCCCAAGAGTGAGGTCTCCCTGGGCGTGGCCATCCCCATTGCTGGTCAGTAGAGGCTTCCGGAATACGAACTGCCCTTCTGGCTTCCTTTAATAGGAATGGAAAAATAGCCCGCCAAGCCAAGTACATTCTCCCAGCAAACGAGGCCTAAGAGCGGGTGCGGCCCAATTTTAATGCACCTCGAGCGCCCTTCACACCTTTTTCTGTCCACCTCGAGTGGCGTCATGAGTAACAAAGTATTTGGTCTTTTATAGTTGCTAACTTGCCCTTTTTGCCGTGTTGGGATTTCAGCATTTCCTGTGTTACATCTGCAAGGAATACGTAGAAGATCTGGCCAAAATCCCCAAGAGTTTCTTACAAGTAAGTTTCCTGAGAGTGAGCAGCAGTGTGCCTTGCCTCAGGGCGACCTTGTGAAAGTCACCTGTCATTTATTAAGAAGCGAGGTGTGGTGAGTATGACACATCTCCAGAACAGACTCTCACAAACCCGTATTATCACCTTCCTGCACATCTCTCCCAACACTTTCAAAAAGTAGACAGAGGTTAGAGATATATTTTTGTCCTGCTTTACTTTTCTATGTACTGCCTGCTAATATGTACTAATCATAATAATTTAGATGTTAGTAACTTATTTGTAAATGTTGAATGATAATGACCAAAAGCACAAATGCTAGAAATTATTGCTATTTTATTCCCTTTATTTTTGTAATAAGAGCACTGCAAATAGTTGTTGACTATGCGAAAATACTAATATATCTTAAAGGTGAACATTTGTATTTGTTAGGATGCGCTTTCCACATTCCTGGGACATCCACATACACGCTTTTTTTCAGATACATATACGTTTGTCCCCAGGTGAATTTTTGAGTGAAAAAATTAGGCAACCTTTATAAAACTAAGATCTGTTTCCCTCAGGCATTAGTAATTGGGATGTGAAAAAGTAAAATTGTCTGATTTTTAAAAACCCTCCAATAATTTTTATTCTTTTTTAATGTATGTCTTTGGGGAGAGGAAAGAATTATTGGCTATATTATTTTGAAGTTCTTTCTTGGCAAAAGACCAACTGAATTAACTGAACATTTTAGCATACATTTCTTTATTTTGTTTGTTTTTTTTTTTATTTTTTTAAAAAAAAATTTTTTTTTCAACGTTTATTTATTTTTGGGACAGAGAGAGACAGAGCATGAACGGGCCAGGGGCAGAGAGAGAGGGAGACACAGAATCGGAAGCAGGCTCCAGGCTCGGAGCCATCAGCCCAGAGCCCGACGCGGGGCTCGAACTCACGGACCGCGAGATCGTGACCTGGCTGAAGTCGGATGCTCAACCGACTGCGCCACCCAGGCGCCCCATATTTCTTTATTTTGATTCACACAATTTTGCTGTTTATTTCATTCTTCTAGAAGCGTATAGGTGGCATTAGAATGGAACAAAAGAGTTGAATAAGGGGGAGTTTTATAAAACATAAATAATTTCTGGTAATATGTACCTGTCCTTTTTTTCTCCTAAAGGAAGCAAATGTCACCCTTATAGTGATTGGACAGTCATCCTACCATCATATTGAGGTAAAGGTATCATCAGAAATTGCGAAACCAACAGATTAAATCAGTTTCAGACATAAAAATTATTTTATTTGAACAAATAAGTGTAGATTAAATTTACAAAAATAAAGATAGGTTATCATTACTTTTCTCTCTCATTTTTACTAATACAAATTCCAAATATTATCTTTTTTTAGCCTTTCTGCAAACTGACTGGGTATTCTCATGAAATCTATGTTGATCCTGAGAGAGAAATTTATAAAAAATTAGGAATGAAAAGAGGTGAAGAAATTGCCCCTTCAGGTAAGACATGACATGTCCCATCAGAAAATGCCGGTGGTGTATTTTACATTTGTGTATGTGTGCATAGAGAAACGAATGGTAAACTCATAAATCAGGCTGGTTTTTAGGATTCTAGTAAGTGGGCCAGATACACCAGATTCTCAAGGATTCATTTCCTAGGTGTAATGACATAGAAAGCTGTGAAGTACCAAAGGAGTGAAGAAAGCAAGTTGCAGAACACTGTTTTTGGTTTGATTCTGTTTTTGTGGAAATAAAAACCATTTTCATAAAGATCAAGAGTATGTATATGTGTGTGTAATGAAAAAGGTTTTAAAAGATACTGCCATGCTTACCCCAAGGTATAGAAGTTAGAAAAGTGTCTTTTGTGCTTTTAACAGTGGGAGTACATTTTTTTTTAATGTTTATTTATTTTGAGAGAGAGATAGCACATGTGTGAGTAGAGGAGGGGTAGGGAGAGAGGGTGAGAGAGAATCCCAAGCAGGCTCCACGCCATCAGGGCAGAGCCTGAAGTGGGCTTCGATGTCTTGAACCAACTGTGAGATCATGACCTGATCTGAAGTCAAGAGTTGGATGCTTAACTGACTGAGCCACCCAGGCACCCCTAACAGTAAGTACATTTTACTTTTGTAATTCAATGAAAAAATAATATTGCTTGAGTTCATATATTTTGCTACTTCAACACCATAGCTTTGAATAGTATATGTTCTTTAATTGATGAAATCTGTTTTCATTGAAGCCCAACTCAATGGGGCCCTTCAAGCAGAAGTTATTGCTTCCCTCATTGTACTTTAATAGCACCTTGTACTTTATTATATACTCTATTAGTGATTAAGGTGTGCAGATACTATGGTTATTTGAAGAATTTGAAATTTTATTCATTGTTATGTGGTCCATATTCCCTGCCCTTAGCACAATTCTTTATAATTAACAGAGCTTCATCAGCTTTAGGTGAACCATTGCTGTGTGTTTTAGGTGGAAAGAATGTGGCTTCTAAAATGCCAAATGAGAAGGGGTGCCTGGGTGGCTCAGTCAGTTAAGTGTCCAACTTTGGCTCAGGTCATGATCTCGTGGTCGTGAGTTCAAGCCCCCCATTGGGCTCTGTGCTGACAGCTCAGAACCTGGAGCCTGCTTCAGATTCTATGTCTCCCCTCTCTCTCTGCCCTTCCCCTGTTCTCTCTCTCTTTCTTTCTCTCAAAAATCAATAAAAAAAATTTTTTTAATTTAAAAAAAAATGCCAAATGAGAGAACTCAAACTCAAATCATTCACTCTCAAAAAATATTGTTGCGCTCTTGTCAGTAATCCCCACTTTGGTGGATGCTCCCAGAAGAACAGTGATAAACAGCCCCTGCCATCCTGAAACTCATACTCTTCTCTAGGAAACAGAAGCGAACAGCTGATTACAATTTAAGGGCTTGTACTAGAAAACATGTAAGGAGAAAATCATTACCAGAAATATGAGGGCAGAGAAGAATCTGGGAAGCCTTCTCCCGAGGAGGTGTCACCTAAGCCCACTCTTTTTTCTTTTTCAATTTTTTTTTTAATGCTTATTTATTTTTGAGAGAGAGAGAGACAGACAGACAGAGCACGAGCAGGGGAGGGGCAGAGAGAGAGGGAGACACAAAATCCAAAGCAGGCTTCGGGCTCCGAGCTGTCAGCACAGAGCCAGATGCGGGGCTCAAATTTGTGATCTGCAAGATCATGACCTGAGCTCAAGTTGGACACTTAACCAACTGAGCCACCCAGGCGCCCCGCCCCGTAAGTCTACTCTTAAAGGAGTTAGCTGGGTGAGATGAGTCTGGAGAAGGGTGCTGCTGACAGAAAGCACATGCAAAAGCACATGGGCATGAAAAACTGTGGCCCTTGGAGAAGTGCAGATCCCTGCATCACGCAAGAGTCTAGGAGCCAGTTGAGGAATTGGTGTGAGCCAGGGGACAGGTGTTGGCCATTTCAGACTGAGTCTGGGGTGACCAGCCAAGGAGTTTGGATTTGCTCTGGAGGCAGTAGGGATGTCACACAAGCATTTTAGGTAGAGAAGTGATAGCCATGTGTCCACTGTGGTGGAGTATTTAGAACTTGCCGAGCCAGAGCCACTGATACAGTTATAGTAGGGTGTAGCAATAGACTAGAAAGAAGTGCTCGGGCAGAAAATGGAGATGAAGAGGAGGGGATGGGTCAGGAGCTATTTATGACATAGAGTTGATACGATTGCTTTACTGATGTTTTTTCAAAAAAGCAACCTAAATTTTATTAAAACTAATAATGAGCTATCATAAACAGAGTTTACTATTTCCTTTTTTCTCCTTGGTATAGGAAATTGCAATGTATAGATTGTGAGCCTTACTTATTGGTAGACTGTTTTCTGTGTTATAATAGTCCCAGTGTGTGTAAGTTCTGTTTATCATTTAGCACTTTAGATCTAAACTGTGAGCTTCATCTTAGTAACACCTCACCATTCGCAGGCACAATAAAAATACAGAATTGAAAAGAAAACATGAATTTGAAACAAAACTTATGCTTGTAGTTATTAGATAAGGTATATTTAAATCTTTTAAACTCTTCTGACCTGTGTTAAAGTACTGTATTTCCAACCAGAAAACATTATTTTCTCATAAGATCATCTTTTACAAGTTCCTCTCTGAAAAAGCATAAGTCTCAGAATAGTCCTACTTGGAAATTAAGACACTAAAAAATAAGATTATAATTTTAAGGGGCGCCTGGGTGGCTCAGTCGGTTAAGCGGCTGACTTCAGCTCAGGTCATGATCTCACGGTCCATGAGTTCGAGCCCCGTGTCGGGCTCTGTGCTGACAGCTCAGAGCCTGGAGCCTGTTTCGGATTCTGCGTCTCCCTCTCTCTGACCCTCCCCCCATTCATGCTCTGTCTCTCTCTGTCTCAAAAATAAATAAACGTTAAAAAAAAAAAAAAGATTATAATTTTAAATTAATGGACATTTTATAAAGACAAAATAAGAAAATAAAGCCCTTACATGCCAGGAAATAATGGGTTTGTAGAAGACTGAAAAACAGGAGTTTTATACATATGAACTAAATTCAAATGGGCAAAATTAGATCGTGTTTGAAGCAAAGACTGTCGAATTCTAGGTCATGGAATCTCCTTCAATTGAATTTCTAAAGTTTCAGAAATATTAAATGACCCCATCTTTGGACCTGAAGAAATAGTTTGGATTTCTGAATATTTATTTTAGATAGAGAATCCTATAAGCCAGTAAACCAGTCTTTTACTCATGTCTCTAAGCTAATGAGCCTGTATTTGTTTTTTGGTAACATCAGTGTCCATCATAATGGAAACATGAAACAAATAAAAGAGTCGTAGAGATGAAGAGAAATAATAGGTATTTGGAAATACTAGGAATTCAGGCAGGTCAAAGGCAGTGTAAATAATAAGCCAAAAACAAAACATAAAAGGCAAGGATAGGAGAAAGATAAGTTACAAGAAGGGTAAAGAGACTGAGTCCCTTTACTCAGTGGGAGTGGAAGGGAAGTATTAGTCACAGTGGGGAAGGAGACTGAAAAACTGACAGCCAAGGAGAGATGGAAAGGTGGCTGGAGTAGCTGTTGTTACAGAGAACTCCCAAAGTCTCAGTAGCATAACACAGTAGAAGATTAGTTCTTTTTCTGGTAATTTCAAGATGGGTGTATCTATTCAGATGTCTCTCCTCCAAGCAGCAATACCAACAGGAACACAGTAGGAAGGACTGAGGCCTCTTCCATCTTGTGGCTCTGTCATTTTCAACCCAAGGCTTCCAAGAAGGTAGAGGGAATATGGAGAATCACTTGTGGGAGGTTTTAAGGAGTTGGCCTGGAAATGGCCCAAATCATTTTATTCAGGGGTTAGAACATAGTCACGTGGCCATATGAAACTGCCAGGAAATTTAGCTGTGGGCCCAGAAAAAGGAAATGGGTTTTGCCAGCATATAATAGTCTGTGCCACAGTGTCTCTTGAAAAGGAGTGTAGTTACTTATAGTAGGTGAGAGACTCAAAAGAGGATAAATGGGGTATTAAAAGGGAAAGCACTGGGGCACCTGGCCAGCTCAGTCAGTAGAGCATGTGACTCTTGATCTCAGGGTTATGAGTTCAAGCTCCATGTTGAGTGTGGAGATTACTTAAAAATAAAACCTTTAAAGAGAAAAGGGAAAGCAGTACCAATTTGAGAAGTCTGTAGCTGACATTCTTCTGTGGCATTGGGATATATCATGACTTCTTCCTTTAAAGTAGTAGTTCTCGATCAGGGGACATTTGGTATTGTGTGAAGACATTTTTGGTTGTCACAACTTGGTGAATGGTGCTATGGGATCTAGTGGGTGCACAGGGCAGTGATGCTGCTGAACATCGTATGTTGCACAGGACAAAGACTTGTGTGCTCCAAAATGTCAATAGTGAAAGGCTGAGAAACCTTTCCTTGAAGGAAGAAAAAAAGACAACTTGAAAGTAAGATAACACACAAGAAAGAGAATGTTTTAGGGACGCCTGGGTTGCTCAGTCGGTTAAGCGTCCGACTTTGGCTCAGGTCAGGATCTCGCGGTCCGTGAGTTCGAGCCCCGCGTTGGGCTCTGGGCTGATGGCTCAGAGCCTGGAGCCTGTTTCTGATTCTGTGTCTCCCTCTCTCTCTGCCCCTCCCCTGTTCATGCTCTGTCTTTCTCTGTCTCAAAAATAAATAAACGTTAAAAAAAATTAAAAAAAAAAGAAAGAAAGAGAATGTTTTAGAGGGGGATGGGCAAAAGTGGGTGAAGGGGACTGGGACGTACAGGCTACCAGTTATAGAATTAATAAGTCATAGCAATGAAAGGTACAACATAGGGAATATTGTCAATGGTATTTCAATCACTTTGGATGATGACAGATGGCAGCTACACTTGTAGTGAGCACAGCCCAACTACAGAGCTATGGAATTGCTGTTATATACCCCAAGCTAATGTACATTCTGTGTCAACTATACTTCAGAAAGAGAGAGTGAATGTTTTACACAAGTACTAACATTATCTTCTGATATCTAATTGAACATAAAATGATAATATCTAAAGACAATTCCCAATATTTCAGGAAAGAGTCCCCATATAAAATCAAATGTACTCTCGGGAAGCATTCAGAGCCTGTGGAGGGCAGTGACTGGCCCTCTTTTTGATTTTCAAGGAGACCCTGCTCAACAAGGTGGAACCCTCATTTTAGGTCCAGGTAAGCATCAAAGTGCAATTCCAGTAGTATGCTTTTTGTGCCTTTTAGAAGTTAAGAGGCCACCCAGTTTCTTCATAAAATAGATACCATGTAAAAATGGCAATTTGACATTGTAATAGTCACCATTCTGTGCTTGTAGGGGCAGGGGGCATCTTTTGTTTTTAAAGGCTTCTGTGTATTTTGTGTCTGTTTATTGGATGTAATGTGCCCATCATTCTGTGCCTGAGTGATTTCAGTATTTGAGATAGGAAAGTCAGTGGTGGTTTGGTGAATTGTATATGGCTATAAAACTGTTTAAAAAGTTCATGGAGGGGCACTTGGGTGGTCCAGACAGTTGAATGTCTGACTCTTGACTTCGGCTCAGGTTGTAGTCCCAAGATTGTGGGACTGAGCCCCGCATTGGGGTCTGCACTGAGCGTGGAACCTGCTTAAGATTCTCTGTCTCTCTCTCTCTCTCAATCTCTCTCTCTCTCTCTCTGTCTCCCCCGCCCTCCTCCCCCAGCCCCTCTCCCAGCTTGTGCATATTCTCTCTCTCTTAAAAAATAAATAAAAATAAATAAAATAAGAAGTTCATGGAAGTGAACATTTCCACATAAGAGAAAATCCTCAAGCTTTCCCCCCACCCTGCCTTTTTTTCGAGGGGGGGGAGGGGGCGTCAATAGAAGAATCAATCCAGTTACTTATATCTAATAAGGCTAGAAGACTTGCTTAGTGTCAGAAGGCAAGTCAGCTCATTCAGTAACAACTACTGTAAGCCACATAGTTTTAGTAGCTTTATTGATTGGAATACCTGAAATTTCTTTGGCTCCACATTGCTAACTGGTTGACCACTGGATCTCTACCATGTTCAAGTATTGTAGTCAGGGACAGGCACTAAGTAGATTTTTCTTAGTTCTTCCTCTTTGAAACTGCCCACAATAGTGAGCATAGCTTCTAGAAGTTATAAAATGTTACTTTAATAAACTCCAGATGTCTAAAAGTCTTTAGAAGGAGGCTTTTGACCAAACATTATGGCTTTTTGGCTTTCTGCAGTTAGAGTACTTTAGCTAGCTAAAACCTGTCATTCAATCTCTTTCCCTCTCTTGTGAATTTACACCAGTTAGACCAGACAGAAGAGAAGCCCTGTTTTATGAGACGGAGTCCTATAGATTATCCTCAATGACATTGAGCCATAGTTTTGGATGGCTTGTTTCCATCGTCCAACCTGTTGTGAGCCCCTCATCTCCATTGTCTCAGTATCATGTGACCACATGTTCAGGTGTGTAAGAGTGATGAGCACACAGAGTTCATCACTGGAACATACTCAATAAAGAGAATATTTTGATACTCTGCCGGAAGGAGTGTAGCTCCTCTAAGGAAAGAGCTGGGTGTACTTATTTACACAAATCTATCACAGTTAACCCAGTATTTCATTTTGTCTTATTTGATAATAAGCCAATTCATGATATTAAATCTACAGTGATACTATAGACAACAGTTAAGTATAATGCAGAGAACATGCCTCTTATAATTAATCATGAGGGTTGATGGAGGAAGGTGGGGGGGGGGCGGATGGACTAGATGGGTGATGGGTATCAAGGAAGGCACTTGTGGTGAGCACTGGGTGTTGTATGTAAGTGATGAACCACTGAATTCTACTCCTGAAACCAATATTGTACTATATGTTAACTAACTAGAATTTAAATAAAAATTTGAAAAGAAAAAACACACATGCAAAGAATTACAGAATTTCATCTGTAGGTTGAAATAAAAAAAGCTAATCTAATGTTTTAAGTTCAACATCTGGCTTTGAGTCTAAGAATCAAAGTAAAAAGATCTAGACCTATAAATTACGGGTTTTTTTTTTATTTGAGCAGATAAAAGGTTTGTTGTGGAGGTCTTAACAGTCTCAATGCCCTGCTTTTCAGCCTCTTTTGGTCTCTGGTTATAATGCAGATAGCCTATTAAATCAGTGTTTGAGAGTGAATTTTTTTTTAAGCAAGTGATTTATTCCATTATTACATTTAAGAAACAGATGTGATTTTCCATTTGATATCTGTGTTCTGTATTGTTCCTGTCTGTTTGACAGGACATTTTATTTAATTACATCTAATAAAACCTAACAGAGGTTATAATTTAAGAATATTTCCCCTTAGATCTCATAAAACATTAAGTATCACTCTTATTTAACCATAATCCTTTTCATCCTTTATTACCTTAATTAAAAATTATTACAGCATTATATAGAGAATATTATGAACTCCACGCAATTAATTTTTCCCTTAGGATTAATTAAAAGTTGCTTTTGCTTCCTTTATTCTAATAAGCAATAAATCTAATGAATAATACTATATGCCAACTTCTGCCTTTTATTCTTACTCTCTTCTAGGTAACAACATCCATTTTATACACCGTGATAGAAATAGGTTGGATCACAAACCCATCAACTCTGTTTTACAGCTTGTAGGAGTTCAGCATGTGGACTTTACAAGCAGATCTTCAGTTATCCATGTGTGATGGTGTAGACTATCACTTTCGAATGGACCCTTGGGATATGACCTGAAATGTTCAGATGTGATATCCTTGTGCAGTGTCTCACTTGTTGGCTTTTCCCAGCCTTTGAGGAGTTATGAAAACATAAAGAGACCACGTACTAGTTGAACTACATACTGAGAGGCATCAGTTGTCAAAAATGTTATATATATTTATAATTCTATAGCTTTTAAAGTTTTATGTAAAATAAAATTTTATTTATATAAAATAAAACTTTAAAAGCTATAAAATTAGAAATACCATTTTTTATTTTACATTATGGTATATCCATTCAATGAAAGTTTTTATTGGCCCTCATTCTTTTTTTTCTTTTTTTTTTCAACGTTTGTTTATTTTTGGGACAGAGAGAGACAGAGCATGAACGGGGGAGGGGCAGAGAGAGAGGGAGACACAGAATCGGAAACAGGCTCCAGGCTCTGAGCCATCAGCCCAGAGCCTGACGCGGGGCTCGAACTCACAGACCACGAGATCATGACCTGGCTGAAGTCGGACGCTTAACCGACTGCGCCACCCAAGCGACCCTATTGGCCCTAATTCTTATGAAGAACATATAAAGGGAAAGGTAAGCAACTCAGGACCATTTTATCCAGTGAAAAAGCAGGGTGTCAAATCCTGTAAATAATGTAATCATATTTTTATGTATATGTTTATATTTTTGCATACTTAGGAAAAAAGACAGTATATAAACACACCAGGTTATTGCCAGTAGGTACCTCTATATGGTAGGATTACAGTATCTTTATTTTCTTTTCCATATTTTCCTTTATCTCCTAACTTTCTATAATGAGCATGATTCATTTTTTTAGCCAGGAAAAGTTATTTAAAAATTATATGAAGAATATATTCCTATATAGGAAGCTTCATAAAGTTGCATATAAATGCAACTGTCTACATGTTTCCATCCACATTGCTTTACTTAGAGGAAATATTGCAAACCAAACCTGCATAGCCTGTGTTCAAAGCACCTTGTACCACACACACAGTATCCATTTCACTAGGATTTGGCGCGGGGGGGTGGGGGGGGGG